TGTTACATGATTTATCCAAATGCAACTTCGAGGTACTTTTACTGTGGTGGGTATTGAACCTTTGGTGAATATTGAAAACTGTCATCGTATCAAATGAAGATGTATAGAATAAAAAGTTACAAAGAGAAGCGAAGGAAATAAAAGTTATTAATGAAAAATTACTAAGTTGAGCGAAACAATGCCCGTCAAACGATAAATAAATAAAAGTGTCGTCGCTCTAGATATTTCAACTACGCAAATAAATATTGAAATTACGAATGAAATATAACTACAACGAACAATCGGTTATAACACAAAATCATCCGCAAATAGCGTTTAGATACGCTCGAAAGTTCACTGAAAGTGAGTCCGACCTGAGGGAGAAGTGAAAAGGAAAAATTACTTTCATCCCCTCGACTAAATTGAACGACCGCGTTCACCCGAGATTACTTTCTCTTATCGTCTGCGTACACGGATCGTCGAAGAATCGCGGCAGCGTAATTCCCAGGTAGCTCTCGTCGCGCCAATAATCGTCGGGCAAAGAATGGCGGGTAACGTTTGGTCGCAGCGGTCGTCCCGCAGGATAATTGTCCCGATAACGCGGCGATAGGCCCGGCGTGTGCGATTCGATCCTCTCTCGGGATGATAGGGATCGCGACAAGCTTGTATTCTGCGGCGTCCGCGTATCGCAGATCGTGAAGCACACCGTTGCGTGCAACGTTGCCCACGATGTTCTCCAAACGCGCGATTAACATTCTCCGGCAGCGGTTCGCCCAGATGCCCTCTGGCCATCGCCTGGTCCTCCGCCACCACTATCAGCCGCCATCCTTTAAAATACGGCACTGCTGGCTGCACCGACACACAGAGAGACGGCAGACGTAGGCTCTCCGGCCGTGTTCTCTATTAACTTCTCGCATTGGCCGATCGGATCGATAACGGCGTGCCGATGCACTGGCCGTTATCTTCTCGCTAGGCTGCATTAATGCACCTCCAGTTATTGGACAAAATGGTTCCGGCCCGCTCTGCGAAACGTTACTCGAGCCCCGCAGCTTGATACGTGCCTCGGTGATCTGTGACGCATTCCACTCACCCGGGATTGCTCTCTCGCCGCTTCGGCTTAATAGGATGTGACAGAACTGGGCAGAGATGGTGGAGAGCGCCTGCCTTTCCATTTATCTACGTGTCGGTTCGATCGAGAGGTGTGTCGAAAGACGAAATGCGCGCCAAATGTTGTTTTAGGACGAGGAGGAAGAAAACTCGTGAGTACGTTTGGCGAGAGACACAAGAAGAGGCGGAGATGAGGTTTACATATTTCTATGTGTTATTCGTATTTCGTGGTTAGCTTAACGTTTCATTGATCTGAATAATTACAAAGGTTCGTCCGAACGAATCTCTGTTTGAGTTTTGTTAGTAATATATTAATTTTATATTCAGAAATCTTCAATACTTTCTTTTTCTATTCTTATGCTCTATGTATCCTTTGACACTTTTGTATTGAGTTTAAATTGTATTGTAATTCAAAATATCACATTATCTGCGACGATGAAGCAAACTCTTGTCCGTGAAATTTCTCTCATTACTATCTAGTTGAACGTTTGAAGAGGACGTTCATCGTTCAACATGAAGTAACGTGACATTTTCCTTTTCCAACAAACGTGCTTTTCTTCTATCATATGCTTGCCCCTTACAAAAGAGATTTACTCTTTAAAGCTTAAACTTTGAAATTGCGCGAAAATCTAGGGATTCTTTCGTTTCATCACTCAACTAATGCGATCTCTTCGGAGCAAAGCTTTCGTCAAACTATGGACGATCCGTTGAATCGATTTAATTATCAAGTATCGTCAAATCGTAAATGACTATAGTAATTAAAACTAAATTAAAACTAAAGTTTTATAATTCCTAATGATCAACGATAGCAGTTGAATTGGGTCAAATCTATAATATTATTATACGTGTATCCATACGGGGTATCCATACGATCCTCGATACAATTAGTACGAGAAAAACGCGAGTAAACAGGAGAAAGAGAAATCAGAATGTGGGGCCGTGACGTTCACCTGGAAAAATGGATTCCGGATACATCGATACAGAGTGACGGTGATTATTAAGTGTAGCCTCGTTAATGAGAACTCGGTTCAGCCTCTCTTTTCCTCGGATTTCTCGGCTCGGCTATCTGTTTATCCATCTGTATCATGCGTGGCCGCGCAATTGTGCACGCTTGCAACAGCACTCTCGCGTCGACACGTTCTCCTCCTCTTGGCTCGCATAAACTGGTCGCGCAATTACGAAATGTATCGTTTTCAACGGGTTACAATGGGACGCGAGAGGGCGTGAGCGAAGAGGAAGCAGCCGGCAAACCGAGAATACCCGGTTCGTACCGTGAGTGTGTACATGCTTGCACGCGCGTGTTCCACCCTCACGGTACGATCTCGAACGCATCCGGCGCATCCACCGGATTCATTACGCACGCGTGACACACCGAACGTCGGTGCACCGTCTGTGTGTGCGCGCGCGCGCGCGCGTGTGTGACACGCGTGCACGCTGCGTGCACTCAACGATGCAACCACGTGTCTCTCCGACCCCCTTTTACCCGTGCTCGCTAGGAATGGGATGAAGCACAATATATATTTACGAAATTTCCGAAAAGTTTTCGAAAATTATACTTGTAAGTGGCACAATGTCTGTAAGATTCGAAAGCAGTACTCGAATCTTGGAAGTCAAAATTCTTACATTTACAACAAGATGTTTGAAATAATTAATTTAGTTATTAGAGGTTTAGAAGATGTTACAATATTTCTGCATAAACATATGAAAAATTCTATGTTTGGAAATGAATGGATTTTCAGTTTGTAATTTCAGCAAGCGCTCAAAGCATTAAAACGCACGACCCATAAAATTCTCTACTCATCGGCATCGTTATTTTTGCATCGAGAAAGTATTCGCGAAACGTCTGAAGACATGCCGCCTGGATTCGAGTACACTTAGAAGTGCTTACGAAGGATTAAATGTTTGAATCGAGTACCTCTGTCTATGAGGCACTCGATCCCATCTCTAATCCTCGCTCTCATGTTCTAACCTCTCCTCTACACTACTTGTACGTATCACGCGAACGCGCTGTTCGAACGGTCCGTACGTATGTATACACGAGACCTGCACGTGCCGACCCGTGTACACCACCTGATTGCCATTTCCGAGGAGTTTCGTTAATATTTAGGCTAACCGCTGAGCTACCGAAAAGCTGCGGCTGGCTTCACTCAGCTCGCTACCCCTGGGTATCGTCGTCGTTTTCTTTATCCACCACCTGATACGTTGCATACCGAATGAGGTAACGTTAGTCGGATGGGGGGAGGGGGAGAGGGGGAGGGAAAGGTTGGCCAATATGTGAACCCGTTGGCACTGGCACGGATTGCGGAAAATGGTAAAGTAGGGAAGGAGTGCAGATGGTGATGCGGGATGCCAAGATCGCGTAATGAAAGTATGTTCAGATACTTTCTTCTTAGATTTGGTCTTTTTCTTCGTTCATTTAAACAGCGTTGTATTAGGCAATGAATTTCACGTAATCGTGGTGCAATCGTTTTCGCGTATGAAAAAAGAAAAAAGAAAAACGAATGGATTAAATTTGAAAATTTATCAAGTACACGTGCTAAAGCACAATTGTTAGTCCTTATATTGCAGTTCTGTAGATGAATTTTAAACGTATGCATAAGTGTATGCATGAAGTTGTGACGAAATAAAATAAGGATGAATCGACACAGTTGTAAGAGCAGGTTTAAGTAGAATTTTGGGAATAACAATGTTGTGTGAAAAATGTGTTTAAGCTCTAAAATTTTTGCTTGATTGTACATGAAATAGAAAATTTAGGGAATTTAATTTTAATTTGTACTCCACATTCTTTATAACAAAGAAATTAAAATTAAAATACAATAAAAATTGAATTAAGTAAAACTAAGTAATCGTAAATTTAAATTAAATTAAAATTACTTTAAATAAAAAAAGAACTGAGTAATTTAAGTTAAGCAAAAGAGGTGAATAATGAAATTTTCGTGTAAAATTCCGCAATAACGCAATAATACCAATTTTAAGCGATTTCAGCGGTTTGTTTAGCGATTTTGGTCCGGTTTTTAATTTTGTCGGAGTCGAATAATAGCGGCTATTGTTACAGCCGTTGAATGAAAAATCGTATTACAGACAGGAACCTGGCGTGACAAATATCTGATACTCGATATATTGTCACGTAACTGTGGCAGTTTGATGGATTTTTCGTACTCGCTTTTATTCGAAGCTTACATGAATTTTTAAGACTGGTTTACTGAACTTAAACAAAAGAGAATTAAAATAACTTTATCAATCTCCAGACGATCAAATCTTATCTTTTTTTGTGATTTTGTACCTTTTATTCCGAGTTCTCGAATTATCTTCCACATAATAGCAGAATACTTGAAAAACAATCAAAATAGAATCGCGAAAGTTTCGGAATGATGAATTATTTATACATTGAAGATTTTTATAGATTTTTATAGATTTTCAGAAATATAATTAAATAATAATTGAAGAAAGTATCTAAATTAAAATTCTTTTCAGCTATCTACTACATATATGCATCTTAATGTACAGATCGTGGATTTTTATGGAAATTCATATTTTTGAAACCTTAAAGTAAAATAGTTAAAAAAATAAGCTAGAAAAGAAAAAACTCGGTAGAATATTGTTCCATGTACTATAAATGTTCCAGGAGACACTGAACTCTATAATTTTACCTGCAGTCTTCTAATTGAACATCTCACATAGATGCATAAAAATCCGCGGTGTGTTACTAAATTAGCAAAATTATTAATGTTATAATTCCTCGTACGATTTCCTCACCTTCAAACTGGCGATTTATTCAGTCGTCCGTCGAAAAACCTGACCCCGGACCCGACTGACGCCAGTTTTTTTCTCCATCTTACGTGCGAGGATGTCGGCGAACGACGATAAACGGGGTGTCGATAAAGTGTTCGCGACGATAAAACGATGAATTTTCAATGGACGTCGGCGCAGATAGCGGGCCGAAAATGTACGACGAACGGTCTCCTTACGATCGTTCTTACGTACGTAGCTCTTTACACAGGATAGTGAAGGCATCTTGGAAAGCGGTCACGTACGGTCAAGAATGACTCCGCTGTCTAACCCCACTCAACGTCGACGATTTATTCGCGACATCATAAACTAACGCGTCACACGTTATGGCGCTTGTGATTAACGAATTCTGCGTCGTCCTCCGTTCTGTGTCGTTCAAGCAGCTGGACGTTTGGCGACTTTATCTCCTTTAACGCGAGTGTATTATTCTTATCATGCGTCACGTAGTATCTCACAAAAATATTCAAACACTTGTCACGAAAGAACTTTTATGATAACGAAATGTTAGGATTTCTTGAATCTTTGTTGAATGTTCAAAATTCTACGAAACAACGAGAGAAAGTGCAGCTCGTACAGCATCTTTTGAGAGGTAATCATAATCTTCAAGAGCCTTGTAGTAAAAAAAAGTTTCTCAGTGTTTTTAACACAGCGATTTTTTTTTTTTTTTTTTTTGAGAAAAAGCACTATTTCATTGCTATATTGCATATTATAACATTTAAAAGAAAGAAATGAATTTAGCACTGTCAAAAGTACACAGTGACTTCATTCATTTTGAAATTATCTCAAGCAGACATTTTTTCACAAAGTTATAAATATCGACAAGTGTTTCATTTATCGACCGAATATTTTTGCGGACTAGTTACGTGTTCTTTAGGTAAAAATTAGGTAAAAAGACTACAATATCGTGCAACGAAAAGTTCATAACGTTTTATAATATGAAATGTAAGGCTTGTGCTTATTTGTTTCTCTTTTATATTGAATTTGCTGTAGACCGAACTTTCTTGAATTTCCACGCGTAGTTTCTTATAATCGAATTCATCTCGTGTAGATAGATTTCTACGTTGTAAACCGTGTTTTTACTAGTTAGTTATTATTTATTATTTGAACGCGAATTTTCCCGGGGTGGTTTATAAATGCAGCACGAGGATAAGATGAGGATGAATGCGTGATACACTCTAGCGAGGGGTGATTCCCTCGTGAAAAAAATGATTTGCGATGTTTTTCTGAATCGTGTTCCGCGCAAATGGTATTTATATTAAACGAACGTGCCGGCTGATGTTATTTGCAATTTTTATTTCTCGGGAAGCAAAGTCAGAAGCGAATAAAATTTATCGCGCGCTACCTTTGGTTTACCTTTTTACGATTCTTTTCACTCTTCTCGTAAAATTTTTAGCCTCGCGAAAATGGACAGTCCTGTTTCTTCTAAACGCGGGTATCATTTGTCTACGTGTGCGTTGCAGTTTATTTATTAAAAAAGTGCTCGAACGTTATAGCTACGTATACGTGCTTCGACGAGACGCGAACAGCTGGAATTAATCAGAGAGACATGTGTCGAGTAAATTCGGCTTGTATTATCGTTCTATCGACGTTTATCTCTCATTAACCGAGATCATAGAGTTAACGGTCGTGTTATTAATCGCTCTGGCCATTATTTATGCATCACGCATCAAAGCATTTAATCTGTGTCATATCTACAGTTAATATCTGCGCGTTGACGAGCGGAATATGCGATTTGCACGAACGTGATATTATACGATAATTAGAAAAAGGACTTTTGCTTTGGGGACGTTTCAAGTTATTCACGAAATATTACATTAACATACATATTTTATTCCATTTTTTTCAACTATGATTTTACCATCGACCTCTTGAGCGGCTAAGCTAACAAAAATTTGATGTCAATTTTTGTACAAATTCATTTCGAGAATTTAATTCGTAAACTAAAATAGCAGTGTGTTATTAATGTTGCGAAAATCTGAAATTCTACTTTAGAATTTCCATATCGTGAATCCACAAAAATCTGCATCCTAATCGTAATTAAACTGCAGACTTTCATGGGAAATTTGAAGATGGAATCGAATCTATAACTAACATAGAATAACATAGAATATTTATTATAGTAGTTAATAGATGAAACAAGTTTGTATTAAAAAAGTTCCATAGAAGTATTCATAAAAATATAAAAATATAAAATTGTGACTATATAGTCAATTTACAACGATGTTGTTCGATGAATTATAACGCTCGAGGGGTTAAATTGTTTTTATACTTATATTAATACTCATATTTCTTTCCTTGCAATGTGAGATATTTCTGCAGTTGCATTTCTGTTTGTTAACCTGGCTGGTATTAATCACGCAAGTGAACCAATTTTGCCATTTTTTTCTTTTATTTTCGCGAAATTGTAGCTTTTTCTTTTGAAAAAGATCGAGACACAAAGGTTTATTTTAATATAAAAGCATTGCGTTTGAGTTGTACAATTATATTAATGAAACGCATTTTCTACTTGATACAGTAGTATGTAACTTTTTAATTACGTTAACAGAAATTCATTTCTCACTGTTGTTGTTATTCTAATTAATTATATTGAAATATTATACCTTTGTGTTCCTACCTATGATTATATATAACGAATGGACGTGTATAATATTTATTCGACATATAATAGATTTTTTTTTTAGCAATTCATCACGTTTTTAAACTTTCGTTTTATCTTATTCATTTATTTAAAGGTAGAAAATTTTATCTATATTTACTTATTATAAAAATTTATTACCTATTTATTTATTTATTTATAAAAATGCTCTGTTTTCCATTGCAGAGTTCTTTTTTATTTATTTTTAATTGTTCCTTATTAATATCAATGTCAAAATTGTAATTGGGGTTTTTACTCTATATAACTTTAGAATTTTAAATTTCGTTCAATATTATTTTTAATCAATGTTAGGAAGACTATGAAATTAAATTTTAACTATTAATTACTATTACGGTATTAATTGAGGGTTAATAGATAACAATCCTTATCGGAGAGAATATAAAATTCAAAATAAAATTAAACACTTTAAATTTTTGCAATATAATACGAATTACCATAGTCATTTATATGTGTCATGTATACTCGTATATTATTTGAGAATTTTTAAAAATCTAATGCAAATTACTATAATCATTTGCAATTCAACGATACTATTCGAGGGTTGTAATTGTTCTTCATTCAGAGGGAAAGGATGTGAAAATGGTTTCAGCCTCGAAGATGATAAATGATCAATTATTGTCTTGATGGAAAGTTTAAGCTAGTACGATCGATGATCAGAAACTTGAAAGAAAAAGAAAGAAACAACGTTCGACTCGCCATACAGTCGCGAAACAGAGTGCTAAAGCATAATGATTACGATCGATTGCACTTCTAGGAAGCGCGTGTGCGTGTAAGTAAGTGCGTGTTATCGAGCTTTGTATTGGAATTAGAGGGGTTCATTAATGCGAAATTGGCTCATTAATGCGAAACGTTGCTGATATCGGATCATTAAAAAAAATACTACTCGAAACCAGTAAATAATTTTAATTCGACTAATGAATCTGCAATGATCATACATCTTTCGTGTCACGTAATTATACATCTTCAATACCCTTATTCATTCTCGTCATAATTTTAAATTCTCTATTCGAATCAAATTTTCCTTGGGTAAATTCAAAAGAGTAAAATCACACGAGAAACCACCCACGCGGGACTTGGTCCGTCTGAAGCCATTCATGAATTCTCAGTCATCGCGTCTCTCCCCCCTTCATAAATCTTAATGAATCAACAGACATTGTAATCCCTATCGCGTGTATCGAAACACATCCAACCACTTCACCCCCCGGGGAGAAGAGCAGAGAAGAAAGCTTCTATGGGCTTCGTAACGGATGGAGGGTGTGTTCAGCAGATTTCGGATGCCGCGTTAACTCAGCGGCTGCAATTTCTCGAAAAGAAGCAGTCAGCAGTGGGGAGAGGCGAGACCGTGAATGGGAAAGACCGTGCCGCACGGTCATTACATGGACAATACCGCATTAATGGTTTAAATCGAATTTAACAGGCCTACGAGGCCTCTGTACCTCCGTGTCTTTCTCTCTTCGTCTCTCCCTTTCGTCACTGACTTCTCCCCTCGTCTCTCCCCTCGACCCTGGTTCTCACGAGGGCTCGTCCTCCCTCGTACGGTACCATTCTGCTAGCCACCCCTTACACCGACGCCACGACCAACACATTGACTGCGATACTGCGGAGAATTTGATTGCTTTACGGGTTAGCCGTGATTAGGTAATCTGCCTGTCTCATCCAACCTAGCGTCGCCCCTCTAAGGGGTGTATCGTGGTATTGGCCGCGGATTTAGCCGAACGACCCGGCCGGATTTGCTGCTGATTGTTGCCGGTCCGTATGCAAGCAGCCATTATGATCCGCGAAATATGACCGATAAGGACCAACGATTTCGACCGGCAGCCCGCTTCAGAAATGTCCACGAGTCTCGTATCAGCGTATCGGCTGATGATTTATTTAGAATGGTATTTATTTGTGAACAGACAAGGGGAGATTTGTTTTTTCCACTTTGGCTTCGCGAGTGAGATTTTTCCAGCAAGCGAGAAACGTTTCGTTGTTTTAGATGGTAGAGTAGTGCGTGGTAAAAATTTGGAGACGACGTGGATGAGTTAAAGATTATATTTTTCTCTCTTTCTATTAGTATTGCATGAGGCAACAAATTTCTTAGATGTATACAAAAATTAGTAGTTCTTTTTTTTCAAAAATACAGATTTCTTCAAATGTAGTGAATTATTTATTTCTTTTAGTGTCGACGAAAGAAATAATTCAAAAAAGCCAAGTATAGTTTGGTAGAAAGAAAATGATAAAAATTTAGTTTTTAAGACCGTGTTAAGAAATAAAGAACCACTTTGTATTTCGAAATCATAATTTTTATAGTATTTTTATACAATTGATATCGTGGTTCGACGCTAGACGAGCCAAGAAACGGTTTCTTAAATTATTAAATAATTTCACAGAAAATCACGCGAAATAAATCAAACTGAGATACTCTTTCCATACGCATTACCGCCATTTTTTGTCTCGTCAATGAGAAATATTATTAATGCGAAATCACAAAAAGCGGCGCGGTGAATGTAAGATTTCGGTATAAATTAACCCGTATCGTTAGTCGATAAATTGAACGCGTGATATGCAACGTTGTTAGCATATCCGCGTTTTGATTCGATCCGAATGCGATCGACTCGCACGGTCCAATAATTCCGTCACTTGAAACTAAAAATCTCTCTGTGTACGCGATTTGCGACTTTTCCGACTCTTCTACTTTTATTTATTTTCTTCTATATTTGTTATATTTATTTATTTATTTTTTTTGTAAATCGCATATTTTCTTTCGTTCTTCCATTTTCAATTATTTGTTTGCTTATTTCGATTTTGTTCATCAACACGATCGGCAAAGTAATTTCGAGACAAACGTTAAGATCGAGGGAATCGTTGAGATTACGTTACATCGTCGTACATCTTGATCCGTACGCAGGGGCAAGAAACGACACGCCCTCATCTCGCTTATAAATCATTTTATCTTTGTAACGCAACCCCTATGAAGAAAAATGCGCCGCGTGGCAGAATACAAGGCCCATCAGTTTTTCATTTAACCGCGCTGTCTTTTGTCACGAGTTTTATGGCTCCTCGTGTAATTGTTAGCTAACCGTGGAAAGGTGGCCAACGGGTATTTCGTAGTAATATTAACAAAATGAAATTGGTCGATAAAAATACGAAGAGATCGCACATGAATATTTTACAGATTTTTTTCCTTCAATAATGTTTTATATCTCGCTCTAAACGTGACTCGAATCACATTGAAACAAAACCGAAAGAATTGTATGTAGTTAAGTCCAACGACAGAGATTGAGAAAATTTCGATGACGGACATTTTTTTCCAGTGCACATAAAAAAGAAAAAGAATTCTTTATCGTATGTACGATATTTCTTGAAAAATATTCTTCCAACGTAGCACCACGTTTCTTAATGAAGCGAGAGCCGTGGTATGCGAAACGCGGTATTTTCCGCGAGGTAGCCGAGTTAAAATCCGATGGAAATGTCGGTCGTGCCAAAATGCGCGCGGCGTAGGTAAAATTCTTAGGTTCGCAGTGCATTATCGAAGTTGCGAGGATTGGTGAAATGCCCGGTTGGCGAATTACGGGGCCAGGCGCGTAGCTATTGCCCCGTTCCATCGACGATCCGTATATGCCGCGCTTCCTGCAATGTGTTTCTAGTTTAATGTACCGCATCGCGGTAGTCCGAACATTTGAAAAATGCATACACTCGCGCAACGATCGATCGCTGCCCGTTCCTCGCCCCCGCGTCGTCGCTTTCGTATCGACTTTTAAATTTCATCGATTCCACGTTCGTGTATGATAATGCCCGATTCCTCCAGCGGCGAGCCGGATTGCGGCCCCTGTGTGTTTTAGCGGGGCAAACTTTCCGCTGGCTTCGACCAACTCGGTGGATCGTTCGTGTTAAACGCGTGATTTATGGGTGATAGGATGTTCTGGCTGGCGAAAGAAAGTATCGCGGGGAATAAATAAATTGCGCGAATAATGCGAGCCAACGGCACGTTTTACATTTACAATGCCGGCCAAGAGTTTTGGTATAGTTTCGTTGTATTTGTACTTTATGCTTGGTTATTGTATGTTCGTTACTGTATATATTTTTTTTTTCTGGTTATACCATACGAGAACAAGGCACGTTCATTTTCGATTTCCTGTATTCATTAAGATTCATTGATTCAGTATCCACGGTTGACTACTACGATTCACAAAGCATTTATTTGTTACAGAAGTAAATATGCAAAGATTTGGAATTTTTTTCTATATTTGAATTTATGGAGTTGTTCAGCAAAGTTCTCGACGAACATGTTTTACACGTTGGTACAGTGGAAGCTTTAAAATTCGTGTATGCTCTCAGCTTGTAATGTCCATATTTATATAATAATGTTATAATATCGTAATAAGAAATCCAAGTAAAGAAATTGCAGTAGAAGATGTACAGTTAGTTTATTGAATTAGGACCATTTAGATTTTTCGTTTGAATGGAAGTGTTTGAGTGAAATTTCATTACACGTATCATATACGAAAATATTAGTAATTGATATCTTTTTATTTACTATTTCACGTACTCGTGCACAAAACCTGTACGTGATCGATAGTGTATATTTCTTCTCAATTTATAGAAATCGTTCAACTTTACTTACGGATTCTTGCTCGGTTTATTACTCGTTTCGCGATTCATCATATTGCACCCATTGATTATTTCTCGCGTAATAATGAATGAAATACTCCGGTTTAACCTCCACCGCACAACTATAATTTAGCAACTACCGTTAATCAAATCTGATGCGCTCTGTATGCGACCGCAGCATTAAACGTTCGCTTCGGACCATTATTTCCACCACCCTATCCTTGACTCGTATTCAAAGAAATCCAATCTCGATAGCATTACGATCCTCGACCGCTTATTCAAACCGCTTCATCAGTTCGTTATCAAACAAGAAATTAATCCATATGCGCGCTCGTCCTCCTGTACCGCGAGATTCGAGCCAAGCAATATCTTTTCTTTTTGTCGGCCGATGCCACGAATCCGCGAATCCTCATAAATATCAACAGTGTCTTGCTTTCACTATCGATTGATTGGGGATAGAGCACGTGTAAGTTGGTCGACGAACAACAAAATGCAAAACCGAAAAGTGCCGGGTTTCAAAAATGACGATTTGAACAATATGTTATTTTTTTTAGAACTTGGGATAAAATTATGCGTCAGTTTATTCAGTGAAAATGATATTTCTCTAGTTTGTTGAATTGTCGAACAAGGCAGCTTTTATATTACTGTTTGTATCGCGTTTGACTGAATTTTTATTCCAATGAATTCTTATTGTCAATCCCAGATTGACAGATTTTTAGATGATCTTACTTTTAGAAACTCTATTTTCGGTGCAGCACATGCATACATATTGGGACATTTTCTTTTTCGTAATATTCAGTATTCATCACCGTGGATAATTGAACTTTCAATTGCTTTAAAGATTCTCTCTTGCACAAATTTCTAGTTTTGAAATGAATACGGTATTTCTGCTAAGATACTAACACTAATACGAATACGTTAAAAGTCAAGATCAAGATTCGCTCGTTACATGCATTTACATACACGTGAAATGGGCATGTCTCTGGTTGGTAGACAGGTAGCAGCGGACCGTCGCCTAACAGGGTAAATTCTCGTGTGTACGCGTGCAACCGGGAGAATCGGTCGAGCGTATTGGTAGGGAATATGTGCATGCACCGGGAATATCATATACCGGAACCTCGATATTACCCCCCGACCAGCAGACCGCAATGCATACTGAGTAGCCTTTCCCCTTTTCTCCATTACACGGTCACCTAACCTACATATACATAGCATATCAGATTCGCGAGTAATAACGAATCTATCACTGGCTCTATCGTAAACGAACCGGGCCGTTGTCGCGAGTTCGATGCCTGGTGACACGCGGGATACGAGAAGGGATGAGAAATCGAGAGCCGGCTTCGATTTTGCGCCCGCTGCTGGTGATGCTCGTCTCACGCCTGCTACTACACTTTGAACGTTAATATCGC